AAATATGAATAAGACAATTACTAGGGCTAAACATATCAAATCAACTTTTTCTGGTAAGCACTAGTAATTGATTAAGCCTTGTGTCACTCTAGACTTTAATATTGCTGATTAATGTTTAGCCATCATTAGACATAGCCGGAAGGAAATACCAATATTAATGCGTGGAGGTACGAGCGCGACAAATACGGAACTCAACATCAAATTTAGGTTGAACTTTCTTCGTGATAAGAAAAAATATAAACTTACTCTACTCTCGATAAGATTGATTAGATTTCATTATTAAGGATAATGAAATTAAATCTGACGTGGTTCAACAAATAAGAATAATCCTACTATAACCGGAGGAGGTCAAAAGGATTAAATCATATCTCGACAAATCTGGTAATAAATCTTCTATGATTTCGCATAAGCGGAAGATAAGGTCAACCATCGACATCAGCGGAACGATTTTAATTCCAATCGACAGTCATAAATAGGGCATCAAGCCATTAAAGAAGGTACGACGTAAAAATTATTATTAATCCCTGCCTTCTTTTTAAACCTCCGTGACTAATTTGATCATCAGAGAGCTCTTGGCAGACACCACACCGGTGCCGTCAAGGTTCATCAATCTTCTCCTCTCTTCCTTGTAGGAAAACGGTATCGTATCGAATTGCGCGAATTTCAGCCTCAACAGTTGGCGCTGTCTGTGGGAATCACGATTCCCTTGAATCAATTAATTACTCGTTGGGTATATACGTTTGCAGTCCGGTATGGTTACCGAAGGAACACCGTTACAGGGATCTGGTCAAAGGGTAGAGTCGGGTGAAAACCTGGACGTCCTAAATGACCAAGCACGGCTTGCAGCGTTGGAACTACAAGTTCAAACTCTGAGTCAGGGTATGAACCAGTTGATCCAGCAAAATGCAACGCTCTTGCAACACCTTGTTCTACTAACTCAACAAAACTTTCCAGGACAAGATCTCTCAAGTCCAAACGGAGGTAATGAAAATCTTGAAGAGAGGGATAATCATTCCCCCCAAAATGAGACTGAAGTGGAACAAAGCCAGGTGGGAACCCGACATAGAGAGGTGGTTCACCCATCTCTCCTACGGAGTTCCCGACCTCCTGAAAGCATAGCCTTCTGTCTTAAGGAAAAGACAAAGAAAGTTACCCATCTCGACTTGTAGATTAAGGATCTCAAGGGGAAAATGGAAGATGTAATGCAGGCTATGAAAGGGAAAGGTCCTGCTGCCGTAGATGACCTGGTACAAAGGACCAACTTGCCTTTCAGCTCCGCCATTATGAAATGTCCACTACCTAGTAAGTTCAGGATGCCCTCGTTCGAAAGCTTCGATGGAACCAAAGATCCCCTTGATCACCTGGAAACTTTTCAAGCTCTTATGCATTTACACGCTGTGCCAGATGAAATCATGTGCCGAGCTTTTCCCACTACACTTAAGGGATCAGCGAGAGTTTGGTTCAACAAGTTGAAGCCAGGAACCATAAACACCTTCGAAGAATTGAGTAAGCAGTTTGTGAGCCACTTCATTGCAGGTCAGAGGCATAGGAGGCCGGCTACCTACCTGTTTACAGTGGAGCAACAAAAGGAAGAGTCGATTCGGGAATACATCACTCGATTCAACACAGAGATGTTACAGGTAGAAGAGGCGAACGACAAGGTAGCTTTGACCGCTTTCATAGGAGGACTCCAAACCTCCAGATTCTTGTTCTCCTTATCAAAAGAACCTCTCACTAGCATGATAGAGTTGCTGGTCAGAGCGCAAAAACACATCAACGCTGAAGACACCATGAGTGCACAGAAGGAAGGAGATGACAAGAAGAGGCCAGCCCCTCTCGTCAAGGATGAAAATAATACCAAATATAAGAAATCGTTCTTCAGCCAGAGTGACAACACATATTATGAGAATGACTCAGATGAGTATACCGACTAGAAATTGTCTCGCGGCTGGAATTAGCCTTATCAAGTCATTCACAATAAAGACTGAGGGCATCTTAGTTAATCATTTTAAATGGAGGGTAGCTCCATCATGTGTTATTTTGTGTTTTAATAATGATGGTCTTTAATAAAATTCTTTTTAGTTTATACGTGCAGTATCCCCGTACTATAAGGGATAGTAAATGAGTGTCCTGTATTACAAGGACTCAGGCTGAATGAATCCCATAATCCGTATCACCGTACTATAAGGGAATAGTAAATGGGTGTCCTGTATTACAAGGACCCGGGCTGAATGAATCTCGTCATCCATATCCCTGGACTATAGGGGATAAGTATCTTGTATTATCAGGACTCGAGTTGAATGAATCCCGTAATCCATATCCCTGTAATATAAGGGATAATAAATGAATGTCCTGTACTATAAGGACCTGGGTTGGATGAATCTCATAATTAATATCCCCTTATAATAAGGGATAGTAAATAAAAATCCTTTATTAAAGAGGTGAGCTGAGTAAAACTCGTAAAGTTCAATTCCCTTACTAAAGGGACGAGCTGAGTAAAACTCATAAAGTTTAATTATCTTATTAAGGAGTGAAACTCGTATAATTTATTCCCTTATAAAAGGAAGAGTACTATTCCCTCGGGTGCAAAAAAAAAAAAAAAAAAATATTATTATTATTACTATTCATGAACAGTACCGCGGGTACTGGTCATGCACAGTACCCGAGGGTACTGTTCTCTCGGGTGCAAAAATAAATAAAAATAAAAATTATTATTACTATTCATGAACAGTACCCTGCGGGGTACTGTTCATGTACAGTACTTGAGGATACTGTTCCCTCGGTTGCAAAAAAAAAAAAAAAAACTATTCATGAATATTACCTGTGGGTACTGTTCATGCACAGTACCCGAGGGTACTGTTCCCTCGGGTGCACAAAAAAAAAAAAACCCTGGGTCACTATTCACATGAATAGTGCCCGCGGGAATAGTACCCGCTAGTACTGTTCACAGGGGTATTTAAAAAAAAAAAAAAAAATTCCCTGAGTTACTATTTACGTGAATAGTACTCGCGGGAACCGTTCACCAAGGTTGAAAAAAAAAAAAAAAAAAAAGTATTATTATTATTTATTACATTCCCAAAGCTAGACGTGCAAGCTTGGGAATGGGGGCAACTGATAGGGAAAAATATAAACCTACCCTACCCTAGATAAGATTGATTAGATTTCATTATTAAGGATAATGAAATCAAATCTGATGTGGTTCAACAAGTAAGAATAATCATACTATAACTGGAGGAGGTCAAAATGATTAAATTATATCCCGATAAATCTGGTAATAAATCTCCTATGATTTTGCACAAGCGGAAGATAAGGTCAACCATCGATATCAGCGGAACGATTTTGATTCCAATCGACAGCCATAAATAGGGCATTAAGCCATTAAAGAAGGTACGACGTAAAAACTATTTTTAATCCCTGCCTTCTTTTTAGACCTCCGTGACTAATTTGATCGTCGGAGAGCTCTTGGCAGGCACCACACCGGTGCCGTCAAGGTTCATCGATCTTCTCCTCTCTTCCTTGTAGGAAAACGGTATCGTATCGGACTGCACGAATTTCAGCCTCAACACTTCGTACACGCTGAACTCTGTATTAGCACATTTAAACTATGTACATATTAAAAAAAAAAAAATTTAACGTCTTTGAATGTATCGAATGGTGCACAAATTCCCTCTTCTTTCTATGTTGATACATGTCAATTATGCAACAGATAAAAATTAAAGGATAATACTTAGCTACTCATCGGTGAATAACTTCACCCTATATGAATTAATTTATTATTAATAATGATGTGGTAAATTATTATTGGAACACAAAAGAAATGAGTAGGATGAAACTACTCACTAGTGAGTAATTAAACATTATCCAAAATTAAATTACTATAAAAAAATGATTATTTGACCGAGCACTTAAAAAAAAAAAATGCTTCTTTGTATAATCCTTAACCATGAGATTCAACGTAGGGACATTCTTGTGGATTTCTTACATATTAAAATTACAAAATGGGTTTTAAGATTTCGGTTGAAATAGTGGACCAATATATCATAACCTTTTGTCACCGGGGTTAAAGTTGTGCTCATGTTCTCAGTTGTTAATTATGTGGTAGTGTCTTAAATTATACTACTATCAATTTATTTATTTTTTCCTTTAAAATAATAATAATAATAATAAAACTTTTGTACATCAATCGACATGAAAAAAAATAAATAATAATAATAATAATAATAATAATAATAATAATGTGTGTGTGTGAGGCCCACATCAGAAATGACTTTTAACAGTGAGACGTGAAGGGAATCTAACTTTGTGAAGAGCCCTCCAAAAAAAGCAGGAAAGGCCCATCCCAACAAAAAGGCCGAATCCAAGTGGTCAGCATACCTATCTTCTCTTATCTCCATTCTTGCTGTCCATTTCCAAACTTCTAGTCTTTTCAATGCAAAAACACAACTTGATGATATATATATCAAAATATATAGATATTAAAATATCAAATATAACGAATCAGATTCAATCAATAATAACATGGAACTTGAAACCCCTATTTTGCCCTTCCAATATTGAAACAAAACAAGCTAACTAGTAGGACTTTAGTGTCATTTCACAATGAGGGTGGCCTCGTGTATATTAGTAGTACAACAGTTTTCAAAGTCTACAATATAATGGAACTTGAAAACCCTATTTTGCCCCTCCATTTTCTAACAAAACAAGCTAACTAGTAGGACCTTAGTGTCATTTCACAATGAGGGTGGCCTTGTGTAAATCAGTAGCACAAAAGTATGAACGTGCCCAGTCGCTTTCAGATGACATTCATTATATCAAGTAAATATTATTTTTTCTTTAACCAAAAAAAAAAAAAAGAAGTAAATATTATTTTTTTTCCTTCCAATTTTACAAAATTTTGCACTCTGCCAATGAGAAAGAGGATTAGAGAGAGAGAGTGGGTGGGATTTGTGTTGTTGTATAGGATAAAGATAAAATATGAAAATCTTGAAAACAAAGTTGTGGCTGCAAATTGCCCATCAGTTTCTGTACTCCTAATCTGGCCGTCTCTCACTCTCTCAAAGGGTCTTTAAGGTTGACAATTGTCTAAAACTAGAACACAAAATTTTAGGAAATTAGATTCACCCAAAAAACTAGGAAAAATAAGGTAAATTAGATAAGTGCACAGTCCAACCAACCCATCTCCACTTTTTTATTGTTTATGGCCTGAAATTGATAAGATCAATTAAAATCCTCTTCTGGGTGATAAAGATAGTGTGTGTATGTGTGTGTTTTGATTTGGGTTTTACAGAATTTGGGAGATGTCAGGTGGTGGGTGTAGCATAGTATGGTTCAGGAGGGACTTGAGGGTAGAAGATAACCCTGCACTAGCTGCAGGGGTTAGGGCAGGGACAGTTTTTGCAGTGTTTGTATGGGCACCTGAAGAGGAAGGTTACTACCATCCTGGGAGGGTTTCAAGGTGGTGGCTCAAGCAGAGTTTGGCCCATCTTGATTCCTCTTTGAGGAGACTTGGGACTACCCTCATCACCAAGAGATCTACTGATAGTGTCTCTTCTCTCCTTGAGGTTGTCAAATCTACTGGGGCTACTCAGGTCTTCTTCAACCACTTATATGGTAACTAACTCTCATCTCCTTTTAAATGGTCTAGTGGGATCATGTTGATTGACCATGGATTATGTTTTTTTGGGTTTCTTTGTGCTTCCCCAGTTGCCCTAATCCTTTTTTCTGTTAGTTTTGATTGTTTAGTTTAATTATATTTATTTATTTATTTAATATTACAATTATTAACATTATCTTGTCTGGATATATGAGCTTTTGGATGTTTTATATATATATCATTTCACTTAATTAAATCCAAGATTGCTGCTTATGATGCTTCTTGTTTAGACTAAAAATAGAATTTACTAAAAAATTAATAAATAGTTAGTTGCCAATTTTCTTTTGGCCTCCTTATTGTTCTTTTTCTCATTGGTTGACTGGTTGCTTCAACTTCTACTTATCACTTTTAGTTTAAATGTATGGTCAATAAGCCTTGTATCATATTGGGATTTTAGCATGCTCAATTTGCTTTTTTTAGCTTGTGTGGCAATTGTTCTTCTCTGGGCACTGATATCTAGTTAGTTTCTCTTGTTATTCAGTCCATATTTCAATTGATTTCCTGTGTAGTTTAGTTTCCTCTGATAACCTAATTTTATGGTTGTCATGGATGTTAAGCTGTAAGTTGTTTTTTATTATGCAGAAGCTTCTTGTGCAGGCTCTTCATTTTCAAGTTGGTTAGCTTAGGAAACCAAACTCAGTTTTGCAATCTTATATGCCTTGCCTCAATGTGTTAATTAGCATTTTCTTCTCTTCTTTTTAGATCCCTTGTCACTTGTCAGGGATCACCGGGCAAAGGAGGTCTTAACTTCTCGAGGAATAGCTGTGCGTTCCTTCAACGCAGACTTGCTCTACGAACCATGGGATGTTCATGATGAGCAGGGCCAGCCGTTCTCAACGTTTTCCACTTTTTGGGATAGATGCCTTAGTATGCCTTATGATCCTGAGGCTCCACTTCTACCGCCTAAAAGAATATTCTCAGGTTGGTTTTTTTTTTTTTTTTTTTTTTTCCTTTCTCAGTGTCTTCTTAAACATTCTTCTCAATATTCTTTAAGTTTCTCAGATTAAATATATTTGATCTTATAGAGATTAACTGATTTTTTTATACCAAGGGCTTAACCCAAGTGGTATTTCCTTCTTCCAAATGAAAGGTTGAGGGTTCATGTCTCCAACGGGACAAATGTGCGTGCTCGTGATACTTGCGTACCAAAAATAAATGAGTTTTTTTAAGTGTTACTTTTACTGAAATTGTAGAACCTTGGGACTTATCACATTTGCATGATATTCTGATCCATGGATTATATTGTACTCGAAAATTATGGTAAACCCTTGATTTTCATAACGCGATCAACTATTACTTGGGCGCACAACTCTAAGATACTGGAAGAAGACACAAAAGTATGTGCACAGTGCAGCAAGACAAGTTTAGGGAACACGGAATCCTAGACATGTGAGCACCCAAAATTCTTAAATATGAAGGTGAGCTTTACTAGATGCAATACATAAAAACAGTTTTATTCTACATATTATGGTTGAAACATAAAAATATCATCAGACAGACTTAGTATTTCTGCTGATGCCCTTACCGGAAAATAATATTTCGGCTGATAAAAGAATTGAAAACCAATGATGTATTTTGCAATAGTTTTCAGTTCTATTATATTATATCATATATATCCCTAGTCAAACTGAATTGATAAATTTTGGTCAAATATAAAATCATAGGGGGCCTTTTATATGTTTTCATAGGCAAAATTGCTATGGCTTCTTCTATTTTTGATAAGAAAGAATTTATTATTGTTCTTAGATTAAAAATGCAAAACTCGGATTATGTAATTTTGAGGAGTTTGTTCACTGTAGAATTATATTTTATAGAAATCATGGATGGGAAAATGGTTAGATAAAAATTGTTTTAACTTCTATGGATATCATTGTTTTAAATTTGCACAAGATACACCATACAATTGATGAAGTGCCATGTTACGTTGTTTATATATGTCTCTATTTCTTTATTATTGATGAAGTCACTGTTATCATTCTTTATATAATTTATGCCAATTTAAAGATCTTCTTTATTTATATTGTAGTACATTAAGAAAAAAAAATAGTCATCTAATGCATCAAAAAGTTTCGGTGTGGAAAACTATGCTGTTGTACTATACTACTCTATTATCTGTGTGTTTACGCATACCCTAGTTTATTATCAATGTGTTTACTCATACAAGGCCTTGTTCATTAGACTGCTTTTCTATCTTTTTAATTCCTTTACTTTTTCCTATGCAATGTATGCTCAAGCATTGGTTCCTCTCTTTCAGGTGATGTGTCTCGATGCCCTTCAGATACTTTGGTTTTCGAAGATGAATCAGAGAAAGGAAGCAACGCACTTCTTGCTCGGGCATGGTCGCCTGGGTGGAGCAATGCTGACAAGGCATTAACCACCTTCATCAACGGACCATTAATTGAGTACGCTAAGAACCGTAGAAAAGCTGATAGTGCTACAACCTCATTCCTCTCTCCCCATTTACATTTTGGGGAAGTGAGTGTGCGGAAGGTCTTCCATCTTGTTCGCATAAAGCAAGTTTTGTGGGCTAATGAAGGGAACAAAGCAGGTGAAGAGAGTGTCAACCTGTTCCTCAAGTCTATTGGTCTTCGGGAATATTCAAGATACATAAGTTTTAACCATCCTCAGAGCCATGAAAGGCCTCTTCTTGGGCACCTTAAATTTTTTCCATGGGTATTAGATGAAGGCTATTTTAAGGCATGGAGGCAAGGTAGGACTGGTTACCCATTGGTGGATGCGGGCATGAGAGAATTGTGGGCCACTGGTTGGCTACATGATCGGATACGAGTTGTAGTTTCTAGTTTCTTTGTGAAGGTTCTCCAGCTTCCGTGGAGATGGGGAATGAAGTATTTCTGGGATACATTGTTAGATGCAGATCTTGAGAGTGATGCTCTTGGTTGGCAGTATATATCTGGTACACTCCCTGATGGTCGTGAGTTTGACCGTATAGACAATCCACAGGTACATATGAAATCTGGTTCAATTTGGTTAACCTAATGGTCAAGTTTCTAACTGTTCCCTTAACTTGTGGATATACACATCCAGATTATGCAAATCACAATGATTAAAGTCTATATGATGTGTCATTTGTTAAATTTTTTTAATATGAGTAAGTACACTTCGATGATCAGCCTATGAATTAAGCGAGGCCTTTCTAAGGGCTGTCTACTCAGGATGCCTAGAGCCACACAATGAGTACTTTCCAACCACGCAAAAAGGTTTTTGGTAGATAGTAATGGCCAAGATCCAAACTTGACATCCCAACGAGTCTCTGTTCATCCTCGTTCAAGGCATGATGCATTTGTCCCCCGATGTCACAGTGGCTCTAGCTAAGGCTGCCAGCAGTCTAGATAAGATGCAGGACTCTATCCTATTGAATGATTGCATGCTGCGTGCATTAGTGAGTCAATTCATTGAAAGCCATAATGCAAACTCTAATAGTTGCGTCAGTGTTCCAGTGCATTTATAGACATCAATAAATAACTATTGTATCAACTTGGCTCTTTTTATCTCCACTTCTCTCCTACAATGTTACCTTTTTCAGTTTAGGTGGATGATTCAAGTGAAAGTACTTATTGCCCATACCAAGAATTTACATACTTCTAAATGTTTGTAGACCTCTGCACTTCCCTTCTTAGTGCTAATATAAATCGGAAGCTAAAGAGTGTACCTCAGATTATATGCCACTTCTCTACTATGCCTAGAAAGTACAGTGAAACACCGTGTGTCAAACAAGTAGCAGTTGCTAAAGGTTTTGTGGGTGGATTAGAGGTGGCTGCTACTGCTTTAGCCCCAAGATGGAAATTCAGTCAAATTGATTGTAGGAGTGCTTTATCTACATAGAACCTACACGATTTTCTGCGACTGCTGGAGCTTTCTGTGTTGAGGCTTTTCAGATGGACCATGAATTTGACGTGCCAGTAATTATGTTTCTGTATTACTGTTTTGGTGTCCTCATGGAAGCTCATCTAATGTTTTTACCCACGAACCTCGTAACAAATAGCTCTAAATAAAGAACCTTATAGAGGAAAATCTACAGATTGTATTGTGAACCTTGTTCAAGTTCTCTTGTATATGAAATCGTATTTTACAATGTATTACTTCTCCTTATAAGTGATCTTTGAATCCAAAAAACTAAAGAAAAGTAAAGTTCAAATACATTTGTTTCACTCCTTCACGAAGTGATTTTCTTTAACTCGTGGGGTTAATGACTTTCTTGTACGTAGACAATAAACTTTCATATTTACCTAGTGTTGTATGCAGTTTGAAGGTTACAAATTCGACCCCCATGGAGAATATGTACGGAGGTGGCTTCCTGAACTTGCTAGACTCCCTACTGACTGGATACACCACCCTTGGAATGCACCTGAATCTGTGCTTCAGGCTGCTGGAATTGAATTAGGGTCCAATTATCCTCTTCCCATTGTGTATATAGATGCAGCAAAAACAAGGTTGCAAGAAGCACTTTCAGAGATGTGGCAGCAGGAAGCAGCTTCAAGAGCTGCAATTGAGAATGGAACTGAAGAAGGGCTTGGAGACTCTTCTGAATCGACACCCATTGCGTTTCCTCAAGACATACAAATGGAGGTTGATCACGAACCAGTGAGGAACAATCCTACTGCTGCAATCAGACGCTATGAGGATCAGATGGTTCCAAGCATGACGTCTTCTTTTGTAAGGGTTGATGAAGAAGAAGTCTCTTTGGATCTCCAAAATTCAGCAGGAGAGAGCAGGGCAGTAGTGCCTATGAATGTTAACGCAAATCAAGAACCAATAAGAGAAGCAGTAAACCATGGGTTTATGCGACCAGTTCGAACCTACAACACTCCGCCACAATTTAATATCACAACAGGGCAACGAAATGGTGAAGATTCCATAGCGGAATCTTCAAGTAGTAGCGGTCGGAGAGAAAGGGATGGGGGTGTAGTGCCAGTATGGTCCCCCTCAACCTCAAGTTATTCTGAGCAGTTTGTTGGTGAAGAAAATGGAACTGGTTCATCTTACTTGCAGCGGCATCCTCAATCTCACCAAATAATAAACTGGCAGCGGCTTTCTCAAACAGGGTAAGCAAACAATGGCTTTTCAAGGCATTGGCGGGGCTTATAATCATGTTTATCAACCTTTTTCACATGATTGCAGTGAACAGTTGGATGTGAAACAAATTTGTGTTTCAAGTTAATCTGCATGGTTATTTACTAAGCTTTGTTCAATAGAATTTTACCTGATATTTAAACTTGTATAGCTGCTGTCATAGAAAAGAAGAAAAAAAATCTAATGAATAGAACTGAAAAGGTGAATGGTGATGTCTGTCACCAATTATGGATTGAGATTGAAATCATGTCATTTTTGTGTTCACGTTGCTTTTCTTGGTTACCAAGATTACATCTTAGGTTGGAACTTGTATTGCTGCAGTCATATAAAAGAACTGAAAGAGTGAACATTGAAGTCCCTTCCCAACTATGTATTGAAATTGAAATCAAGTTCATTTTTATATTATGAGGAGTTATATTTATGCATTTGTAAGATTTCCTAATGGTCTCGATCTTTTGTTTGCTAACAGGTAAAACTCCTTTACATGAAAAGACAAGAAGCTAGGAGGCGGAGGAGAATGTGATGTAGCTAGACCTATGGCAATTGGGATCGGCGCCCCATGTACATCTTTATCCACCCCTTACTCCTCTTCGCGACCAGTCTGACCTGGCCAACAGTTTAACATCGGTCATGCATGAGATTTCAAATTGGTGCAGGCAGCTCTCATCCACAACTTTTCGTATCCCGTTGTACAATATTCGTAGCTCTGCTGTATAGTTATTGTTGTTTACGCAAGTGGATAGAAGAGTCATAATAGGATGTTCATGCAATTCTCTAATAAACCCAGGTTTGTGCTTTTGTTGATGATGGTCTCATAAACTCGTTTGCCCAAGGTGGACGCTAAGCAGCCACAGAATGATATTTCAGTCCATGTTTATGTTATTTATCCATTTTCTTCGCTTAATTTTGATTTCACCGGTGGTTGCCATAGGCTTAAAGAATCATGTTTGACTGGGCTAAACAGGTTTCAGAATTGGCAACCTAACTTATAATTTTTCATATGTATTGTTTCAGTGACCTGTGAAAGCGAATGTACTCTGTCAACCTATATTCTGTATAATTTAACGTCATTTTCATTTTTCTTGGAAATTTTGTTGATGAGACATTTAGAGAACAGAGAAGAAGCACATGCTCTTAGAAACTGAATGAATACATCCAAATTGGTAAGGTAGCTTTATTTTATGTTTTTACAGGTCCCTTGCCAATTCAAACTGCAACAAGAAATTGGAACATCATTTCTTGTATTACTGAATTCTTGAGAGAAATCCAATGAGGCATCATTCTGCATTTCTGCTAACACTTTCCCGGAGTTCAGATTAACTTCCCACTTGGAAGGAATTCTTTCTACTGTATAGAATCAAGGTATAGATCATTGTTTATGCTTTTGGTTGTGTCGTTGGATTCATTTGGCTCAGGCAATCGAAGAAGACTGTATATAAAGGTTGCAGCCATGGCTCCTATTATAGGGGCTGCGACGAAAACCCAGATATTTTTGTAAACACCAGAGACTACAGCAGGGCCTATACTCCTTGCCGGATTCATTGAAGCTCCAGTGACCGGCCTGCAGATTGAAATTTAGTCAAACATATTTATACAAATTTTTTTCCATCTGGGGCTGAACAAAATGGAGCAAACTTATTGTTAGATGATTGTGGTGGAAATTCTCTTACCCTGCAATCATGACATTAAGCAACACTGTACCTCCTATTGCAACTCCAGAAAGTTGTTTGTTCTGTTTAATCAGTTGAAGTTGGAATTCAGTACAGAAAATATATATCAGATCAACATTTCCTCTTCAAATTTTTTTTTTTCATTTTCTAAAATATGATAAATTTGTAGAACTGAAAATTTAGACATCTGTATTGACTGTTAAGAAGCAACTGGTGCATGATCATACCGCTCTGTGATCAGTGGCTACGCCGCATATGGTGAACATCAGAGTGAAAGAGATGATGAATTCCCATGCAAGAGCTTGAAGATCAGTAGTTGAAGCAGAGTACTGGGTTAGTGTTGGGAGAATATTGTCTTGGTCATTGAACAATAGTCTAAGAGTGAGGCATGCAAGTGTTGAACCCAACAACTGGGACACAACATACATTGGCACCTGCAAAACAATTCCAGGCACAGTAAGAAACAATACACACATTTATATGCATGCATATATATATATATATATATATATATATATCTTACGTGTGGTAATGGAAGTCTGGAGGCAGAAGCAAAGGCAATGGTGACTGCAGGATTAAAATGGGCACCTGAGATGTGTCCAAGTGCATATATCATTGCCATCAAAACTGAACCCCAAACCACTGCTATGCCCACTATTGTCAGTGTCCTCTCTCTATCAACCAGAGCAGCCCCACAGCCTGCAAATATAAGAATGTACGTCCCCACGAGCTCTGCAACAATCTGCTTACACAAGAAGTATACCAATGGGCATTAGTCCAGATGATATGATCTCTCGTCTCCAAAGGAGAGGTTTGAGTATCGGAGCCCCGAGAAGAGCAATATTGTGAGTATGTGCATGTTTGCTTGAACTTTTGAAAAACCGTGATAACCCACTGAGACTTACCTTCTGGAAGTTAGATGGAGAACCAGTCGTGTTGGAGGGATGTTTAGGCTTAAATTTTTCCATCATGATGGAGATTTCATTAGACAAATTACGTTTCGGAGAAATGCTAAAACCAGCTGAAGGTGTTTCTGCCATAACAAACACTTGAAAGCAAAGAAGAATTGAAGTGGTCACCTCTTTGTTATATCTGTATTTATACCTGATGATGTGTTCTTAAACAAGTTCTAAAAATTCCACATAGATTTTTTTATCTTTTTCAATTCTGGTTTTGAGTTGTAAGCTTGTTATTGGTGTGAAACAATTAATTTATTGGGAAATTGACAAACATAAAGTTACAAGTTCATAAACTTGGAAGATCCCTTAGCCGTTATACAATCATAAAATGGCATCATTTGTCACTAGTCACATAAATTATTCCCATTTTTAGATTCAATTGTCAACTTCAGTCCGGCCATTTGGGTGTAAACTATTAGAAAAATGATGATGAGAATAAAAGAAAATGGAGGGTGAAAACAAGTAGAAAATGTCTATTCTCTTTAGATATATGATGGCATCTTTGCTGTGTTTTATTCCATGATAAGGAACCAAAAACCTTCTAAAATTGTTAAATGGACTTGGTCTGATTTAAGACCTCTTCTTGGTTGGTTTTAAAACTAGAGAATGTCTTTTTCTGGTTCACAAAGAGTTATGGGCATGGAGTTGGCAAGTGACTAGTCCTGCTGTGAATAGACAAGTATATGAAACCCAAAGCAATCGGCAATGAAATGACTTTTGTCATTGTTTGCATTGAAGTCGCTATGTCTTTGTTGATTTATAATTTGAAATTGGATACATTAATTTCTTGGGTTAAATACAATGACCTCCCCTAGGTTTGCTGTAATTACACACCAATGGACCTTCTGAAAATTTTTATATGGTGTGTTCCCGTGATGTTTGTTCACTTGTTACATTTACCTTTTCCGATCAAAAATCCTTAGAAATTATTACGTATACATGGTATTTCAAAATAATGGAATTGATCAAAATGCTGACGTGATCATAAAAAAATATTATTCATTTTTCTAAACTATTCTTATTATTTGCATGTGCCACTTATGTGCACGTGAGTATCATTCTAGTGCACATTGATACTGCTTCTATGCAAGCATATACTATAGAGTACCAATCTTGATATGCACAAAAAACGGTATATGCGTGTACAAGAATGGTACCTCAATGCAAAAAAGTGGCACTTGAAAATAGTAAGTATTGAAAATTTTAAGAGTTGAATTTTAAGTACTAAAATTTTTAAGTGGTAATTAAAAAATAAATATTTTTTGATTTTTTTTTTAAACGTTCAGCATTTAGTGATAAGTGACGTTTCTATCACTTAAAATTTTATCTCACTTTAAGTAACGCTTACCGTTTTCAGCGATATTCAAAGTGTTTTATCAAATACACTTAATTAAATAAGCATTGAATACATTCGGAATTAAGCGCTGAAATGAGTAATCAAACAACACCTAAGTTAGCCACCACTCTACATAAATAAGTATAAAGGTCGCTTCAGACACTATACACTTTGTTAGGGGCAGTTTTGGAAAAAAAAATCTTTCTTTTCTAATTTGTATATAGATATAGAATTTAAGGAGTTGAGAGGGGGAGATCTTTGATTGCAGCTCCCACCTTTGTAGCCAATTACTACCTCTAGCAGTCTAACCTAAAAGCAGAAGGAAATTGAAACTACAATTTTTTTTATAAAAAAAATGGATTTAATTGCATGTTAAAAAAGAAGTTAAAGGTGAAGAAGATGATTTATTAACAATTGGAGTCATTTAAAAAAGTCACTATACTAACATGACCTAGACACTCGTGGCGTGGAAGGCTACGTGTCAAAACATGTTCCACACATTTTACATGGTCCGATTATATACTGAATTAAGTGATTTTTGAGTGTATTGAGTCCCCATTTGCTACGTAGTCCATTTGGTAGAGGCATTCCCTGTGTACAAACTCAAATTCGACTCACCCCACCATTCCATCATTCCTCCTCTCCCTCCTTGTCGGGTGGAAAAAATTAAAAATTCCTCTTTCAACATGTGGAGTCTTCTCATAATTTTCCCACTACTTTAAATAAATAGTACTAGCTTTGCAATTCTTTTAAAAGAGGAGGCAAAGAGAGAAAATGATGTAGACTTAGTAATTATTTATTTAGTCTTTATTATTATTATTATTATTATAGCAAATGAATTTCTTTTCTTTTCATTATAAAACTATGTTTCACAAAGCAAGTCATTGTTATTTTCAAGCAAATAGTGCCTTAATTTTGTGATTGCAATTTATCAAAAAAAAGTTATATTTCACACTTTTTGTAAGTTCATAATAATTGAATAACACTTCGAATATGATAGTGAAATAACGGATTCAAAAATACCTTAATTTAAATGACAATGTATGATTGTGAACAATTACACATATTCAAGACTCACTTTCTCGTCACGAAAAGAAAAGAAAAAAATATATGAATTTGAGAATGAAAAAGAGTATTAATTATTAATTTTTTTCTTCTGAAAGATAGTATCATATTGCATAATATTAGGAGTACAACTGAGGCATACTGGAGGCTCAATCCGCGGCATGAAATCTTCAATCATAATCCAATCCAACCTAAATATCAACCTGAGTGTATGAAAATTTCAATCATAATCTGATCCAACCTAAATATCAACCTGAGTGTATGAAAATTTCAATCATAATTTAATCCAACCTAACCATCAATTCGATGTATGAAATTTTCAATCATAATCCAATCCAACCTAACTATTAACCCGAGTGCAAATCAATCTTAATTTTTTAAGCTCGGATTGAATTGAATTTGCAAATTGAGCTTAAATTTTGAGTTGAATTTGGGCTTCTAAAATGAGTTTATATTTCGGGTTTGAATTTGAATTGTTGAAATAAAATATGCAATAATCTTAACTTTTTCACAATTAAAATACTAACCTTCGTTTGGTTAGGTGGAATCAACTAGAAAATAAAGGAAAAAAAGATTTTTTTAAAATTTTTTTGGAGTTTGGATAGATAGAAAAAGAAACGTAATGGAACATTTTGTTACTTGCCTATTTTCTCTCAAAACTTTTCCTGCACAAAACACAAGGAAATAATATTTTTGCGTGAAAGAATTGCCTTTTTATTTGATATTCTTATTTTACACATTAACTTAATCGTGCAAAATAATTTATTTCTTTATTTTTTTTACTAGATTTCTAAAAGGCATGGTTCTCTCCAAAACAACTTTTTATTTATTTATTTTTTTTTTGCACTTTCTTTGTTTTTCCACTAGTTCATACAATCAAATCTCTCTAAAAAATTAGTATTGCCGTAAGTTTTTCGTTTTTATTTATTTATTTTTTATGTTTCATTTCTCTTAAACTAATAATTAGTTCTACTTCTACCTAATAAAATATTATGAAGTCATATTTTAAATATAAATAATTATATTATTTAATTCAATAATCCATTATTAATTTTATTATTTATTTGCTAAAAATAGACATCATCAAATACAAATTCATTTATTTTTTTAGTATTTAACATTATAAGGGTAATTTTGGTGTGTTCAATCGCTTTCTTTTCACTTTCATACCATCCAAAATAACAAATTAATATTTCCTATAATTTTCTTAAATAAATTTTCATACTAACCGAAAAAAAAATCTTTTCATTTATTTCACTTTTCTTTCATTTTCGATTTATTTTCTTTTCTTACTTATTTCCATCTAATCAAATGTAGCCTAAAAGATATTGGCATGACATAACAAATGGATCAAAAGCAAATAAGTTTAATATGTCATATGTTATAACCAAATCTGCTAAATAACCTGCAACCAACCCAAATATATATACATAAAACATCACATATACATATATCAGGTGTCAGTGTTCTACTGTTCGGGTTCGTCAAACTTTGTAATTCTGGGCAGGCTCGAGTTGAGTTTCAGGTTGTCAGTTTAGCCATCCTGGAGATGTAGTACAGTTCTTATTTTTCAACCCAAGTCGAGATATTATTGCAATTTAAATGGCCTAGTCCGAAAATTTTTAGATTGTCCCCGAGTTGCAACCCAACGTAATATAATATTTTCTTCAATTTACTTTCTTTTCATTTCCCTCCAACCAAACAGGGCATTGATGCTTTTGCTTCGTTTGGTTGGAGGGATGGAAAAACGGATGGAAGAGATAGTTGGAGGGATTAATGAGTAATCCCTAGGAAATGGTGTAATCCCCTTATATTTTATAGAATTTATTTTATTATATTTAATTAGTTTATTTATTTTATTTGGCTTTAATTGTATTTAATTGATATTCTTGATTTACTGGTTTGTTTAATTTAATTATGTGTAAATTATTTGTTTATTTGTTTCGTTACGTGACTTATGTGCTTAAGGTGTATATAATTGCTATTATATTGTATTAATCATAATTATTTACTTTATTTATTATTTTATTTATTTTAATTTTTCAATGGGTTGGGTACCGTTGGACCATAGGACTTGAGTTTAGCCTTTTTAGAGGGCCTTTTTGGGTTGTATTGAATTGAAGTCCATGTAATATATTATTTTAAAGCCATGTAGTACATTATATGTATTTTATTTAATTTTATGATTATAATTATATATTTATTTAGGATCATTATTATTAGGGTTAGTATCATACGTATAATTAAGAGAGAGAAAGAGGGAGAATTTTTTTTAGAGGCAAAGATAGAGAAGACAAAGTATCTACTCGACTACTGGAGATTGAGAAGAAGATTTAGAGGGCTTGCGACATCGTTTTCGTAACGAAAACTCAAGGCAAGTCACTACTCCACTCTTTCCCTTTGAATTTATAAACTTTTTACCTTTGCGGAACTTTGAGATTAATAATTGAAGATTATTACATGACTAGACATAGATATAAAAACATGGAATTTGATTATTGACGTGCATCCTACGACAAATTAGGGTTCTTGCCACAAGACACTTGGTGGCAAAAACCTTCAAATTTCGTGGCAAAAGCCTTTTAGCCACAAGAAATAGCTCGTGGCTCAGTCGTGGGCGTAGCCCCGTGACAGATTGTAAATAACCACGACTAAAAATTTTCGTGGCAAAATGTAGAATTTGAACTCGTGGTAAAATACCTCCTATCGCCACAAGTTATTTCGTAACTAAATAACAATACTTTCGTGGCAATTAGCAATCTCGATATAGGAATTAATCGTGGCTAATTTAATACTTTTGCAACAAAAATATATATCGTGGCTAAGTTAACTATTTTTCCACGAAATTCATTCGTGGCTATATATCTAATTGCTCACGAATATACGTCGTGGCAAATATCCAAAATAGGCCACGGAGTTCATTCGTGGCTATAAATCTAATTGCCCACGAATATACGTCGTGACAAATATCCAAAAAGGCTACGCAGTTTATGCGTGATTGTTCTATTTTTAATAAAATAAAATTTTATTTAATAGCCAAAAATATATATTGTGGTAAACACGAAAAATATGCCACATATTTATTGTGACACGATAAGAATTTGTAGCAAACCTATAAATTATTAGCATTATAAACATAAGAAATAATATAAAAAATAAAAAAAATTATCACATCAACATAATTATGCAAACAAATAAATACTTGATATTGCATAAGTTACACCAACAAAAAAATATATTATTTACAACATACATAATAAAGCCCATCGCGTAAAAAAAATGAGTCTTCGTAGCTAAAACAATTTCAACTCCAATAATTTGGACCAAAATAGGTTAGTATCTTAAATAAAACGTTTCAAGATCTTAGACAAAAATGAGCTATAAATTCCTAAACAAAGGGTTTAAAGACCTGGATATACACTACTTTAAACCATCTTAAACAAAAAGAGCTTGAAGTCTCGTAGCATGAGCCCATCCAAAAATCTGCAAAACAAACAGGGAATAAATACAATTAATACATATGTCAAAAAAATGAATCCAAGAAAAAATATAAATAGAGAATAAGAATACCAATTCATCTTCTAAATGATAAGGAAAAGTACAAAATAGAAAAGACAAAATACTACTATTAAGATTTATCACTAACAAGCTAAGCTTTGAAAAATCAACATCCGTTAAGAATATCTACTTTGTGAAACAAAATTGATTATCATACTTTTTTATAAGCTCGTCACTACTTACTAACTTGAAATTTCTATTATGTAGAGAATTAGATCATGAATTTTAATAACTCAAATCACATAACCAGACTTTCACTATAAACTATTGGGCAATATATTACACCAAGCTATAAGTTACTAACTTTATTTTTAATCCATCGACTAGTTAGATTTACATAATTTTTAATGTTAACTTTTTTTAATTTACTTTGGCTAAATAATTAATTTTTTAGACAATCGAAATTAGCCAAACAAGAAGAGTTTAACCATTCCGTAAAATCATACACAAGATCAATTCTGACATGGATACCTATAATTGCGATTTAGAAGGGGTAAAAAGAAATCACTAAAATTTCATGTAAAAAAAAAAAAAACTTGCTTAAAAAGGATAAAACCTTAGCACACCAAGAAAATATTGAATTTGACTGTTAGTCACTATTTTCATTTGATAATGATAAGAAAAACCTGCTAAAAAAAAGATAAAAACCTTAAACAATTCATAAGTCAACTCAAAAAAAGATAATGTCCCTTCTGTGGTTTTACAAACCAATTTTAACAAAGAATGTCTTTCTACCAAACGTCACGAAGTTAGATGCAGACAACCATCAAGTTTTTGACATAATTTTACTAAGTACGTAGAATCATTATGATCATAATGTTCACTGAGAAACCAAAGTATGTATCATTTGATATAATTATTAGAATAAAAAGGAACAAAAAATTACCAAATTACTTTCTGAGGAACTAGGGCTGCTAATAACCTTTGAAAAATAACTAAGAAAGTAGCGTGATTGACAGTAACCCATTTTGATCTAGTTGTGTTATCCTCCCACTTTACCTGCAATGGAAAGGCGAATTTTTTTATATAAAATCACTAACACTAGAGACTTCTCAACCAAAATAGCACTCTAATAACTTGTAAACAAATCCAAACCAGCTTGAAATTGGACGAATTTTAGTTTGGCTGGCAAGATCGTTAAGAATTGCCACCCTTAGCTGCAAGTTCTAACTAATATATCAAAGAGAACATAAAGGGATGAGAGGCATATTTTCACAAGAACAATTGCTTACGTGAAATCTTACCAGGCATCAATTTGTTAGGTAAAAGTAAAAAGAAAAATAGATGGACCTTATCCAAATAGACATGGCATAGCCATCATATCCTCACATTTATGGTATTTCCATGGTACTTGATTCCTAAATGGTTAGACTTTTAGATGCCTACAACTTTAACTCAATTTGAATACAAATTACAAGTGTACTTGATTTCAAGTGCTGCAATGGAGTTGGTTAAGATTATAAATAATAGAACACAATAAAAAATAAAAATAAAAAGAACCATAGGGAAAAAGACTCCACAAAGATCTTTGGAATGACATTTAAACTTGAGATATCTACCCACAAGATAACTAATAATGATTTTTTTTCCCCAACCGAAAGAGATGTACCTTTGTTTCTGAATTCTTCTCGTCAAGTTCCCTCATGCCCTTTGTGATCTTAATGTATGGCAGATGTTTTTGAGTCAATCAACTAGAAATTGCTACAAAAAAAAAAAAAAAAACGAAACTGATAGAATGAAATGTGATTCTAAGCCACAAGCTTGGATTTTTCCAATTGAAACACTTCCATTGCACAATTAAGACTATAAACAATAATAAAAAATTAACGAAATTTAAAAAAATACATAAATTTCCATTGAGACAATTTCTCAAACACTATGTATGCACACAAGAAACTTTCACCTAAAGAATTCCAGCCTTCAATCTATCTTCAATTATGGAAATCAAATTAAAAGAATACAAATACATGATATTCAATGAAAATAAAAATAAAAAATACAGATTATTAGACGATATTTGAAGAAAATATGAAGGAAAAAAAAAATCAACAAATATAAGATACTTGTCCTGCTAGAATGCTCGTGAAGTAAAAGTTGAATAGTTTGCTTCATCCACCAATAATAAACCCTAGATTACATTCAAAACAAGAGAAAAAATACATCAAATGTTTTTAAGAAAATTGAACAAATATTAAAAAAATAGAAATAAAATTGATTGAAATTTAAAAACCTGATATGCTTAGGCTTGAATGGATTTCAATGAAACTCTATTGCTCGCTTATAGATTTTAGAGAGTAGAATCCTTCTTCATATTAGTTGCTGGTGCATATCCTCCTCCTCTTAACCCCAACCAATGCCACATTTCTCTCCAAAATTTCCCTTAAATTAATAAACCCTAAACAACTTGTTGAACGTCAAAATCCGCATCAAATCCCCAATACAGAGTGAAAGTTTCAACCAGTGATAGAGAGATCGAGTGGAAGATTGAATAAAATCCCCAATACGGAGTAAGAGCTCCTAGAAGTGATAGAGAGATCGAGTGGAAGATTGAATCAAATCCCTAATACAGAGTGAGAGCACTTTCTAGTGACAGAGAGATCGACTCGAAGATTGAATCAAATCCCCAATACAGAGTGAGAGCTCCTACTAGTGATAGAGAGATCGAGTGGAAGATTGAAGAACAGATCGATTAGATGTGGTATCCTATGGAAGAGAGTTTGCTGACAGTAGTGGAGAAGGGAGAATGAGAAACCGTATGTTTCGTTTAGCATCCCAATAGGTTTTCCTTTTCAATTGGCGAAATTCCAGGCGCGAAACTTTGGCGCTTTTAAAATTGAAAAAATAAAATTAATTCCGAATATAAAATTTTAATTATAAATATTTTTAGCACAACATAGTTTAATTGTTTAAATAGCTTAAAAATCATCTAAATATTTTATAAAATGCTCTTCAAAAATTTGAACTAAAAATATTTACAATTAAAATTTTAAATTAATTTTATTTTTTCATTTTAAAAAGGCCAAAGTTTCATATTACCATAAAAATCAATCTAATTTTCATGTATTTAAGTAAATAATTTTAATAAAAAAAATTAATAACTCTAATTATACATAATTTTATTTTTGATATTTGGTTTCTAATAATTTTAAAAAAATAGTCATAATTGTAAATCATAATAGATCAACAACATAAAATAGTAAAAGATAAAAATAAAACTTATTAAGTAACTAAGTGCATAAAATAATTTTAACTACTTTATTGACTTTAGGTATGAAGCTTTAATACATTTTTTTTATTTATTTGCTTGGGCAAGGTAGCTCTGGCGGACTTTTTATCATAATATAAGTTTAATACATTTTTTTATTTATTTGCTTGGACAAGGTAGCTCTAGCGAACTTTTTATCACAATATAAGTTTAACAATGGAGTGATATTAGTGGTGATAATTTAAACCCACTATTTGTGAATGTTGAATCTTGAATAGCTGAAAAAATGGAGTAGGAGATAAATATTAGAAACGTAAATCGTATTAGAGAAGAAAATTGGTAAGAAACGAAGAAAATTAATAGGAAACTTTTAGAGAATGAAATTCGAAGTTTCGGTTGAAAGAATTCTCTTAATTTATTATAATTAGGTATCTTTGTATAGTAATAAAGACTAGAGACAATCCGATATAGTAATATACGGCGTATGCTGATATGGGTTTTGATTCTCATAGTTACAGAGACTAGAGAGAGATATAGAGAAAGACATGCATATTTGGTTTGTAACATTGAAAACAGTTCTCAAGAATTTAGAAAATAGAAAACTATTTTCAAAGAACTATAAAAGACAGTTATCTGAAAACATGCCTTTTATAACTAAGTTTTCAGAAAACAGTTCTCATAATACTTAATCAAAGCAGAATTTTTTGTTCAGTTTTCTGTTTTCAATTTTCTGAAAACAGAAAACTTTGACATTGAACTAACTCATTCTTTTAGCAATGACTTCATGTGTCCATTGCTAGTGGACAAAGGAACATACATGTGAATGATGATATGATATGTATGGTCCTATAGAGATGAGCTTAAAATGAATTTATAAATACTTTGACATTGAATCCTAAACACACACCATACTATTTACCCCTTTCTTCAAACTTTGTCCATATATAATTGTTTAGGCTTTGAAGTATTATTGTTTTCTTCCAATTTCTTTGAGTTGCTTGTTTACTCATTAATTGTAGTTCAAGCTATCTTTGGATGGACTTGCATTTGGTTCCTTGCAACTTCATGTCTCATTATATTCATTCTTTTTCATTGATGTGATTTTTATTGTTTCATTGAGGTTATTTTTTGAAGATGAATCATTGATTAGCGCTGAAAAGTGCGTATTTAAACCCCTTAAGCTCAAGTATTCTAGCACATTTATCTATCTTACTTTACCGTTTTAGATTAATTTCGTATTATTTTCATTTTCAGGCACTTGTCTCGAAAATAAGCTAACTCAGCCAAATAAGAGCTTAATTAAAGCAATTCTGGGATTAAATAAAGAAAAGAGCAAAGTGGATAAATAAGGAAGCAAATGAAGCCAAAGGTGACAAGCAGCAAAGTTTGATCGATCCAAGTTCAAGGTTCGATCGATCGAACAATGATCGATCTCAGCACTTTAAGATAGATCCAAGCCTTTATCTAAAAGCATAAAGTCTAAAAGTTCGATCGATCCAACACCACCCTTCGATCGATCGAATACTTTTGTCTTTATTCAAATGATTGATCCTATCCATAGCTGTATCACCCACTAACCACTTTTGTCCTTTTCCGAAAAATATCTCCCCAAAATATCTCAGTTTTTTCTTTTTCCAAAAAACTCAACCAGTTGGATCAATCCAGCCTAAGTTCAATGGATCTCAGCCAGTTCAATCGATCTAAGTCCAAGGTTTGATCAATTGAACTTCCTCCAGTACGAAAAAGTTAAATTTCCATTTCATTGAAAGTTGTACTTTATCCAATCATTAGGGAATATTGTGTACACGACCCCAGCTCATTTTGTGTGTCATTTTGACCTACCTATGTAAGGATAAGGATTGCTTTTTATAAAGGGAGACATATATCATTTTCATATCATCTCTTGGAGAGCAAGCTTAGAGGGGAGGCTAAAGACACCATTGGAGTTCTTCATCAACAAGGAGCAGATTTCAACCATGGAGTTAGCCCTTGAGGGTTGGAGCATCATCACCATGAGTGGCTAGACATCCTGTAATACCCCTAATTTAACAAGGATATTTCTGGAATTTATTTAATTATTTAAATTGTGTTTTAATTTATTTAGTTGTGAATTTGTTGATTACGCGTGACTTTATTTGTTTTTATTTATTTCGTTGTGGTTTGTGAATTAATTAATTAGTTTTTATTTATTTAGTGGTGGTTTGTGAATTAATTAATTAGTTATTAAATTGTATTTTTTTTTTTTTCTATTTTTCGTTAATTGAACTTAGGGTTTTGTTTTATTTTTCTTTAGCCGACTTAGTTGCCTGTTTAGTATTAGGACTAGAATTAGGGTAACCTTAATCCTATAAATATATACATTAAGGTTTACCTAGGGTTTTAGAACTAAAACACGTCGGTGCAGGCAGAGAGAGAGAATAGAGGAAGGCTTACAGTAGTCGGAGTTCGCCGAAGAATTTAGGAAGCAACGGTGCAAGGTTTCAAACTGAGACCTAAAGGCAAGTTCTAATCCTCACTCCTTCCCGTTGCCTCGTGTTCTTTGCATGTCTAACACAACTCCAGGGAACTGTTAAGGATTAAAATTAAACTGGATTTCTTGTACCTCTGTTGTTTTAAAACTGATTGTAGTTGAAACGTGTGTATTGTTTGTTTTAATTTCTTCCTTGTGTAACCTCTGTTTAATTCGTGTAAACTGATGAGTAATGATTTTAATTAGTTCTATAACATGTTGGGAAGCACTAGAATTAATTTAGGTTGCAAGTTTGATTTGCTACAACAGTCGATGCTCCAGAATGCTTAAACTACTCGTATTAAACTCTTGATGCAAAATTCATGTTTTAATTAATTTTAGTAACTGAACAATGAATTTACTGGATTCTGGTATAAGTTGGAACCTGTTTTAAACACTTAGGAACCCTAGGTATGAAGGTCAGTTCATCAGAAACTCACCGGAATTGAAACCGATGAAGAACAGAGAGAGAGACGGCTTACTGTTTTAAAGAGCAGGCTCTTCCGGACGAAGAGCAGACTCTAATTTTAAGTAGAGCCGGGTCTAGGGGTCTTGGAGCAGGCTCTTCTTCTAGTATAGCCGACTCCAAGATGGGAAGAGCAGGCTCTTCTTTTGGTGGAGCAGGCTCTTCCCTCGGGTGTGCGTTTTTTAATTTTTCTGCGACTGTGTGGGCTACAGAACTTGGATTTTGGGATTTTCAGTTTCTGTTGGAAGCTATATTGAGGTGTTTAGAGGTGGTTTAAGCTTGATTAAAATCCTTGAGAGAAGATTTATGCAAAATAAAACAACTTTGTTTTAATGCGACAGTGGACAATGCTTAATTAATCAGTTTACTGGGTTTTTGTTATGAAATGATGCAGAATTGCTTAACACTTAGAATAGCAATTCTTAGCAATAAAATTCTCAATTAAACCTATCCCAATGTTATAAAATAAGCGTGTGGATTTACATGGTTTAGTATGCTTATTTGGGCCTAAGTTGGTTTACAGTTTGGATGGGAGGAACTGCAAGATGTTTAAGCTTTGGTATTAAAATTCTTAGTGATGATTTGCAGTTAATCATGTTCCAGAATTACTAAAGATAAACCTGTGAACATTTATATTCTATTATGGTTGATTAGAATTAATTGGTTTACATGTATAAACTGTAATATCAATTAGTGGACCTTGCAGAGTAGTATGGATTAAGCTTGTTAATTGACAATTATTTTATCATGCTTAATATGGAACAATTGATATTTGTACTTAGTGTTTTATTGTCAATTGTGGAATGTATGGATTGGTTGATAGTTATATTTTTATTTATTCTATTAACTGCCGGATGGATTGGATTGTATGCACCGGTATGGAACGGTGACATACTAGGTTTGGATTTGGCTCAAAATTGCTATATCCTACCTATACGGAATAAGGGAATGGATTAAAAATAAATCCTACTTGTATGTAGGCTAAGTCAAAGAAGCTGCACAAGCTGAATGACTAGCTGGATTACTGGTTATCTATGTTAAGTCTGTGCAGTTGAATAAGCTGAACGACTTACTAGATTTATTATGGATTGTTATGAACGGATTTTAAATATATGTTTATGGTACCACGAGAGGAGCTTGAGTCTCAGACTCGTTGGTTAGGGTGCGTATATGCAGTGGATGCGTAGCTGGCTATAGTAGATTGAGGTGTACCCTGTTAGGTCTAGGTATTCATGCCCACATTTGGGTGCGTTTTCGCATGTTACCTTCTATTCAGGTTGAAACCCCTACTGTAGTCTAGTGAATGTCCCTTAGTATGGATATATATATATATACACGACTTATATAGTTATTGTTGAGTTGGTTAGAGTGTATATGCGTATCTAGTTTCTGCTTGGATTGTAGTAGGTTAGAACTTGTTCGTGGGCCTGACCCACTCCTATTTTCGAGGTGTACGTCAGTTCCAGGCTGGAGCTTGTTCGTGCTGGGCAGAGAAGATCTTCCATTCTACCGACAATGTAGGACTTCTTTCCAGATATTTGATTTGGATTTTATCTTCAGTTTACTTTCATTTCGGTTTGGTTTTAGGGGTCCACTTGAG